CCTACCGCTAGCTCATAGTTTGTGCCAGAAATAATAGTACGGACTTGAAGGATAGGAGTGGCAACAAGCGCATGCTCAACGTCCAAATCCTCTGCAGGTTCAATTGCCATTTCCTGGTTATGGTCTACCGCTAGCTCCAGATTCTCGTCAAGTTCCTGATTTTCTGAAACTCCTAACTCATTGCTTTCTGATAATGCAAGCTCATGATGGTTCGATGCAGGCAAAGCCAACTCATGGCCTTCATGATCAGGTTTTCTGTCAATAGTCAGCTCATTGTCATGCACATAGCCGTGGCCACTGCTTCCCTCAGCATCATGGTTTGGTCCTAAGCCCAATCCATGGTCATGGGCATGTCCTAAACCGAGCTCATGCTCATGGGTCTGTCCCAAACCCAAATGATGCTCGTGGTTCTGTCCAAGTTCCAGATCATGATGGTTTTGGCCGAGTCCTATGTTATGATTATGCCCTGGCACGAAGTGCTGATTTTGTGCTAGACCTACATTATGACTCTGCCCCAATATCAAATCGTGGTTAGCCATTGAAGAACGAATCTCAGTATATGAATAACTTCTCCAGCCACTCAACAGATGCTGACTTTAGTATCAGAAAGAGCTTTCCGGCCTGTCCTGTAAATGACCTGCAGAGCAGACGACCGTCCTTGCTTATAAAACAAACAACCATGACACAAATTAACCAAGAAAGCTTGCATGTATACAGTCAGGGCATTAGGACATTCAAATGTACAGTCAGTTCGCCGAGCTCATGCTTCGTATTCAAAGATTGCCATGTGGCAATCGTAAATGAAAACGGCACAAGAATCAGCCAATGTCAATGAAGAACAAGATCCTGCTTTCTCTCCCTCCCTCCCTCCCCCACCCCTCGAGGTCAGGACAGTCAACAAAAAGAATGATAAGCATCGATAAATCCTCCAAGCATTATCCCGTAAACCATATTTCCCCACCTCCCCCATCCCCGGTAGCAAGTCAATGGAATTGGATTAATTACACATCCTAAGTCTCGGGATTTCCGAAATCCTTAATCATATCCAGCAGTATTGAAAATTAAGCCAGGAGCAACATATAACTCGATCGAAGCTTCAATTCCAATCCATCCACCACGAAAGCTTCAAAATTTCCACTTACTAGAGAAGTGCACGCAAAACTATAATCTCTATCGACCCACTAGACTCACTAAACCCCAGCTACCCGATTCAGAATCAACACTCGACCGCAAGCTCGAAGTGCACCCCAACTTCAGTTTCTCCGTCTTTTAATCAAAGCAGGACAAGTAAAGCAATCAGCGCAATTCGAATCAAAAAACCAAAAAAAAAAGAAAAAGAAGGAAGCTCATCAACCAAACCAACCCCAATTCCAGACAAAACCTAGAAACAGACACCCGAAACCGGCAATCACCTGAGAATTCAAGAACCGACCCAGCATCAACCGAGCTCGGATCAACAGGACCGGCCCCCATGGAAGCGAGAACCCGGAGATGGGTCCCTCGGGAGGCCGATAAAGCTGCGATCTTTGGCGACGGCGGCGACGGCGGCGGCGGCGGGGCCGAAGCTAGGGTTCCGGGAGCGATCGGATTGGGGATTTGAACGGAGGGGGAGAAGGGAGGGAAATTGGCGGGTAAAGTTTGGGGAGGAGGAGGAGGAGGAGGAGGAGAAATATGGAAAACCGAAGAAGGGTTGGGGGAGAGATTGGGGAAAGGGGAGGGGGCAGGGGCAGAAGAGGGAGAGAAGGGGGAGAGATGGAGGAAGGTTGAGAAGGGAAATTCTACAGGAGTCTTCTCTTTGGGTGTGAAGCAAGAACGGGGCATTTAGGTCAAAGGGAAGAGAGGAGAATGAATGAGGGAAGAGGAGAGAGAGAGAGATTGAGTTTTTGGTTTCCCTTTGTGGATTTGGGTTTTGGGAATTGACTCTTTTGGGCCCTTTTGTTGTGTGTTTTTTGGGTTTTGGACCTCTTTGGGTGAGTGGGGGAATTTGGTGGGGGTGTTGGACCATGGTTGCCCTTTCCCTAGTGCTCCTATGGTTTTTTTTCTCTTTTTTTCCTTTGTCTATTGACAATTAGGAGGGATCATATACCAGGCATGAGCTAATGGCAAAGTTTGGTACAACTTTTCGGGTCATGCGAGCCGCCGCCGCCGCCGATGGAGCGTAGGGACGGGCGCCGAGCAGCAGTGACGTGGGGTCGAGAATCGCGTTCCCCATTACCCGCCTCGTGAGGCAGGGCCCTGCACCCGCCATTGTCTCGTGCCTTGTGTGCGGGAAGGGGCGGGGCACATTCCGCGCGGGCGGCACGGGGCATTATGTCCACGTGGGGAAATTTTTTACGAACTTTTTAATAATATATAAAAATAATAATAATCTATCAATAATTATGAACTATTCTACTTTAAATTTATTCATATTCTAAAGCTTATTATTAAATGTCACCGGATCAAGAAATATATAGTTATAAAGCTAAACAAGAACATAGTAAATAAGTTACTGCTAGGTATATTTGTTTCCGGAAAGTAATGTTTCATAAATTATTTTTTTTTCAAAATACGGTACACATGAGCAGTTTTGAAAAAGTCGTCAATGATAAATACTTTTATTGTCAATAATAATTTATATATAAATATTTGCATTTATGATGAACCACTTTTTATATTCATTCATTTTGGTGAGCTATCAAAACGATCATTTTCTATATATATATATATATTTTTCTAATTATTATTTTTTCACAAGACAAACGCACTCGAAGTATAATATATGTTTTATTCAATTATAACCATTTACTCTGTGTTTGGTATTGGGAACCAAGGGGAGGGAGATAAAATTGGGGGTGCCGGAATGAAAAATTGGGGGGCTTTATAAATTCCCTCCGTACCCTTTTCACAAATTTTTTTCAAAAAAAAAAATTTCTCTAATTTTTCGCACCCATTTTCCTTCCCCTTAATTTTTCGTCCTCTTATATTCAAATTTTAATAGATTGCACCCATGCAATGATATATATTTTAATGGCGGGTTGGCAAAATGCTTTGCGTTCCTTCAAGGTTGTGATTCGGCTGAACCCTCTGCCTTCAGCTCCCTAGTTTCGTCCAAGTCTTGGGAGCTGCAGCTAAGATGAAGCAGTATGCTACCGCCATCCACATGATCGAGCGAATGGATTCCATGGGGATATCTTGCAAACCTTTACGTTCTCAGCATTCTGATAGATTGCCTCTGCCACTTGAAATGTGTCTGATCTTGGGATTTCCCGTTTTGAGCGTAATGTTCAAGCTTGGGCTTGAACCTGAGTGCGGTGGTGACCTTGACCACTTTGCTCGACGCGGGCTCTTGTGAAGAGGGTAAGGCCGCGCCTTTAGCCTTGGACCTTGGCAGAAGAAATGCGGGGCAATGGGTTTAAGGCCGATGTCTTTACGTACCGTGTCATCTGGAAGGGATTGTGCAGAACCGGTAATACTTCGACGGCCTTTCTGTTAATAAGGAATTTGGAAGAAAGGGGTCGCGAGCTGGATGTGGTCACGTACAACATGATCGTCGATGGTTATTGCAAGGAAGGACTGGTGGCGGAGGCATTTGGCTTCTTTAACTGTATGAGTCGCCAGGCAATCCGGCCCGATATCTTCACTTACAGTACCTCGGTTCATGGGTTATGGTGCATAGGAAAATGGAAAACGAGCAAAGGCCTTGCTACAGAAGATGGTTAATGATGGGATCCGCCCAAATGTTATCACTTGTAACTCCTTCATCCAAGGTCTATGCCGTTGTGGCCAATCCTGTTGAGTGAGATGTTGAGGGGAGGAACAAGGCCAGATGATTGAACCTTCGCTATTATTTTGGATGCCCTCTGCAAACAGGGCATGACTAATGAGGTGAAGTGCATATTTTATTCGATGATTGAGATAGATGTTGAGCCGGATGTAGTTACTTATAACTCATTGATCAATGGTTACTGCCTTCAAAATCAAATGGATGATGCTGCAATTACATTTTATTTGATGACTGCAAAAATTTGCTATCCTAATGTTGTGACCTATAGCTCATTGATTAATGGGTATTGCAGGGTTAAAAGAGTCGATAAGGCAATAAGTATCCTTCGGGAAATGTTCGAGAAAGGATTCCTTAATGTGGCCACTTATAAATCAACAAACTTATGCCATCATGTTAGATGGTCTTTGTACATACGAGCAAGTCGACAGGGTAATGGCATTGTTTTGACACATGGAAGATGGCATGGAGGATGTTCGTGCAATCCACAGCAACTTCCTTATTAACGGCCTGTGTGAGGCAGGGGAACTTGGAGCTGCAATGAACCTCTTCAATTCACTGAAAGCCAAAGGATTACAACCTGAAGTCGTGAAATTTCATGCCATCATAAAAGGACTCTGTAAAGCCGGCCAAATACGTGAAGCTTGTGAGCTACTTCTTGATATGAACGAGAAGGGATGCTCTCCAGACGATTTTGTGTATAATATTATCATCCGAGCACTCCTTGAAGACGGTCAGAAAGCGAGGGCCATGCTTCTTCTAGGCGAGATGATTGAGAGAGGCTTTTTCTGCAGATGCACCCACTGCTAAAATTTTGGGTGCATCATCCAACAGTACATCAGAATCCTGTCTGCACCGGGTACATAAGCTTTCATGAATTGTGATTGCGTTTACAGTAAATAGCTAACTTTTATCTTGATGAGAGAAGACTGGCCTTGCAGCATCATCGATTGCTAGTCCTCCCCATATTGAGAATCACAAGCTGGGGTCTCTCAAACATGAAAAGGCTAAAACTAAAGTCAATTTAATTTGCAGAGCTCGCTATTTTACGATCGTGGGGCTGGGAATAAGGCAATAGTGTCGGAGGGTGAATTTGTTACAGGTATACCAATACTACTGCACGAATGACAGCACGTGTGTCCGTAAATTGCTGCTTGAGATAACGTTCTGCCATTGAATTTGGAGGAATATGAAGAGAAAACTGCACCAGTTCTCGTGCATTGAGGTTATCCAGAAGTCCAGTGTTGGGGTGATAAAAAGAGAAGCCGACTAGTTATGTGTGATGTAGCCGCTTTCTGTTAATTCTGCTTGAATAACGTGTTTCTATTCCTCTCCAGATTTCCTCCAGCCTGTTTCTCCAGTGAAGAGGAGCCGCCTTCTGCAGATCTGCGGCATCTCTTATATCACAACCCTCTAAAAGTTGCAGCTTCAGGAGTACTGTATTTTGTGAAGCTTATTGTTGCAAAAGGTTCGTGTAAGCATAATAGACTACGATGCAATTATTCCTTCTATAATGTCATCCAGGAAGCAAAAACTAATCTCAATTTCATCTTTACTCGACACCATGGGTTACTCATTTCAACAGCGATGAGGAAGGAAAGTAGCAGCTAGCACTTTTGCCGCAATGGTGTAGTCTGTGACAATGAAGAAAAAGATTGTGGAAGTTTAGTGAAAATTTGATGGGCTGCTCAAGAGTGTTTCCTTTGATGTCGGCCTAGAGATTCTGTTCTATCTTCAAATTGTTGTTCTTGTTTTAAGACAATTTATCAAGAACAACTTCAAAATTATAGTCAAACCTAGAGACTAATGTCTTTTAACCAAGTAATGGTCATCACAGAATCTGAGGAGGAAAGATTTTATTGCACTCTTTATCTGGGATTATGATTACTCTTTAGTTTCTTCCTTTTTGTTTTTGTTTTTTCTTTTTCATTTTAGTTTTTCTATTCCTGATAAGTACCATTGAAGTTCTGATCTTGAGGTCAAGCATTCCTGTAGGGATGGCCATACTGAGGACATGGTGGTAGATATTGTTGAACTGATAAAAGATTGTGTTTCACATGAGTGATTGATCATCTAGTTTCATGTTAAGAAAGGATAGCATTCTTATGGTGAAGTGGGTTCACCTTGCAAAACTTCCATGAGCTTTATGAAAGCATCCAGCAATGATTTCGAGTGAAGCTACTCAATTCGTTTTCTGAAGATGTCGTAATTATCAGCTTTACGGCATTACCATTCTATTGCAATATTCAAGCACTCGTATAGCTTTTCAATTCACTGCTTTGTGTTTTATGTAGCGGATTTTGGCGATGACTATTTAAAGCCAACGAATGCAAGTCAAAACGTTTGGTATATTCTGCTAAGCTAGTTCACGGATTTGGATTTCCTTATGATGTATTAGATTTGTGAATTAGCGGACAGATCAAGTAAAATGCTTCTTTTAGACAGATTACATGACCATAAGAAATTATCTTGCCATGGACTTTTTCCAAGTGATGATAAGAGAGATCTATTATCTATTGTAAACTCAAGATTTCTGCATACACTAAAGATGATTGTATGAAGAATCTGATTTTGCATTAGTTTCTCATATCACCATTTCTTTTCCCTTTTTTGTAGGGAAGTCTCGGGGACATCAGCAAGTCAAACCTTGTAAGGCCAGTCACATGGTAAATGCAGGGAATGCCAAAAAGAGAAAAAAATCAAATGCCCACACACATGAGTAGGCCAGTGCCTATATCCTCATTCAGCAACGAAAAACAGAGGTGAAATCGACACTTCAGCAAAGTACACACGACTATGGAGGTTGGTGTCCATAAAAGCTGTTGCTATCACTTTGACTGCAGAATTAGTCATATATGGGCACCCACCATTCGTTTCGGACCTCTGCACCACCATAACTCCTTTTGTACACTGAAGGAGCTGAAGAGCTCAGAGAGGGACTGCTCATGCTGTCGGCTGAGATATTTCTGTCAATTATTCCAGCTGATCACATACATAATGCGAAAACTATGGTACAAATCGGTTTTGAGAGCGTTTAACCGCGGGCAGGTCCTCGGATTAGTTGGATCCATTACAATGACCGTGCTTGCAGTATCGCCCACAGCATGCCTAGAGCTCTTTCTGACATATATCATCTAGTAACAAGGGCAGAAAGAGTTGAGTTTCATCAAGATTGGAGGCACAATATTGCTTCGAGCAGTGAAACTCTTAAGTTACTGGGAATTTATCATTTTGTAATCGCTCTGTTAATAGATGGGAAACATGCTCTAAACTGCTCTGCTGTTGATGACATGGTTGGTGTCACTGGTTTGAAGAATAGTTGCTAGTTCATTCTGAAATTTGCCCCTTGAAAAACCAAAAAGCAACTAGAGGTTTGAGGGTTGCGTTCAGTATACTTAAGATTTCTAAGCCAAAGAGAGCCAATGGAAGCAGTGGTGCACCAAGCTTGCCATGCCTTTAGGTATCATCTGAGCACAAGTTCGAAAGAAATTTTATGCTTCTAATTTTTGCTTGTAACTTCGTTTCTAGAATTTGAAACTTGAAAAGATTATGTTTTGAGGGAAATTTATATATGTCGTGCATACTATTGTTCATACATTATGAAAGATTCCAAGTATTTCACATAATAAATTGAAATCTCATTCCAACAATTGACTCTAAGCAATCTTTGACAGACTAGAGGTTTCGGAAGGGATTCAGATAGGGGGAGAAAACCCTAGTCCAAAGTAGAAGAAAAATCGAAGAAGCAAAAAATTTAAAAAAATAAAAGGGAAAAGAAAAATGTAACCGGAATTATTGTTGCATGGGAAGCAGCAAGAGAAGATGAAAACAGTGAAAAGACACAAGTGCAGAACAGTCTCTATACAGATGGGGACAAAACAGAGCAGCATCTTTCCAATTCCCAGGTGAGAACAGATCAAAGCATTTGGAAGAGAGAGAGACAGAGCCCCAACCACACATTATGTTGTAAAAGACGGGAAGCCTTTTTACCATCCACCGCCCTCTTCAAACCTCTCAAAGACATTCCTGTTCTCAAAAAAAAAGAAGAAGAAAATTTTTGGGGACCGTCGAAAGAGCTTCCCTAAAGGAAGATAAAAAGACAACACAGAGGAGGCAGAGGAAGTTTGTCAGATTGTCTGTTGAAAGAGACAACACAGAAAGTGAAAAGCCATGGGATCCAGGGAAGGCTCCATGTACTGATAATTGGAAACTGGGTGGCCATAAGCATGGCCTCTTTTTGGTTTATTCAACTTAGCTTATCTAGATCACAAATGACAAATTAGTGATCAGGGATCACTGGACGAGTACATCAGTGACTACATATTGGACTAGTTCATTTGATTGTTGAATGTCACCGCGAGGGTTGAACAGTCGCGAGGAACATCTAACAATGTAACTCTTGCGTCAAGCCTTCGACTCGGTCTAACATGTTCTGATGAAATGAACTCGCAAACTTTGTAATTGTGGTTGTCATGATCTTACCTATTTAAGTATACTTAGACCTCTAAGTTTATGCATTATACTGCAGGATGCGAGTGCCAGGTCAAGTAACAGTTGTGGCCATGAGATGACATTGATTAAGATAGGACAATCAATCGAATGTGCATTGGTTTAGTAGCTGGAGAGAGAGAGAGAGAGAGAGAGAGAGAGGCCAAAGATATCTGTCATCTGCTCTTTGGATTTTTAGCTCTCACAGAGAGAGAGAGAGAGAGAGAGACTGTGTGCTTGTGAGTTTTTAAGAGAAATACATCAGTAGCACCTGATGCAGAACTAGAAGCAGCTCATAATGGCAGCTTATTACCCCAACAACGTCACTACTGATCACATTCAACAGGTTCACTTCTCACTGTCTCTGTCTCTTGGTTTTCTTCTGCCATTCTTTTAGCTAGTCTTCACGTTATGTTGGTGTATTTTTTAGTCTCGTCTTCCTTTCTTGTTTTATGGAAGCATCTTTTCCAATGGTGGCATTTCCCTGCACGAAGCATATGTTGAATAAATTAAGATAAAAGTTGTTGTGGACTAACCTTTCAACCGAGTAAAATTAAGTTAGAAAATCTTGTTTTTTTCTTCTTTTTCTGCTAGTGCTAATGGTTGGTTATTGACTTGAAGATCTTCAACACCATCTCCAAATCCTTCTTACCCCAATTTATCACACCTGATGGACCATTTTTTCCCTGAAAAACGAATCACTTTTTTTTTTTTTTTTGCAGTAGTTGGTTTGTGCTATTGTGTCTTGTGGTATTTATGATTCTGTTGTTTCACTTGAACGCATGCAGTACCTAGATGAGAATAAGTCCTTGATTTTGAAGATCGTCGAGAGCCAGAATTCGGGGAAATTGAGTGAATGTGCAGAGTAAGCAATGCCTTCACTTGCAGCTTACCAAGATCAAGGTTGAAATGATTTGAAACTCTATGCTTATAATTTCAGTGGAATCGCTTTCGAACTGTTCTGCAGAAACCAGGCCAGGCTGCAGAGAAATCTCATGTACCTAGCTGCCATTGCTGATTCTCATCCACCTCCAAACATTCATCCACAGGTAAACAAGTAATCTATTCCAACACGGGACAAATATTAGCATTTCATTAGTTTTAATCAAGTCATCATGTTTTAGCACCTTGAGACGCCTTGACCTTAATCTGAAGAACCCTGACTTTGTAACCTTGCAGTTTTCTTCGAGTGGTGTTATGCAGCCAGGAGCGCAGTACGCGCACCACCAGCAAGTGACGCCGCAGGCGCTCGCAACGATGCGATCCTCCATGCTCTACCCCCAGCAGCCTTTCTCAGCACTGCAGCAGCAGCAGCAGCAGCTCGGTGCGAGTTCCGGCGGAGGCACAGGATTCAACATCCTCCACAGTGAGGCAAGCCATTCAGGCATTGGCCGCTCGGCGTTCGGCGTTGGAGGTGGAGGGTTCCCCGAGTTCACCCATGCCTCGACAGGTATGTCGAGCGGTAGCAAGAACGACGTGGGCAGTGCGACTTCTTCTGAGGGCCGAGGAGCAAGCTCACTGAGTGGCGCTGGCTGTGGTGGCGATAATGGAGAAACCCTTTACATGAAAGCAGCAGATCATGAAGGGAATTGAAGGGTGGGTGAGGATGGCAAACGTTCCACCCCACTTGAGGCCCCCTAGTTGCTTTCTTGTTAGGCTTATGCGCAAAAAAGACTGATTGATTAGCTTTATGTTCTTGTTTTCCTAGGTAGATGATGCATTGACGCTGTAAATTTCTGCAGATTGAATCGATTCGCTATGTGCTTTTGCTCTTGGTTTGCCTATTTCGTTTCTTTCCGTTGCTGAATGTGACATCTTGAATATGCTCTTCTTTATGATCTTAACCTTTGAGCCTGGATCAAAGTTTGATCATGTGAACATATCTCACCCCGAAAAAAGATCAACTTGCACAAGTTCAGCGTAAGGAAGCGAATCTCATCGGCCCGATAATTTTTTGCTGCAATTTAGGATGATAACGATATCGACAAAATTGAGCAATGTTCCCATGACAGGACGTGAATGGAAGCAGGAAAATGGGTAGAGGCGATGGGTCTATTTGTTCGACATGTCGAACCACGAGGGTCTAGGAGCCGCTCAGCCTTCATCGATGACTTGCAGTTAGGTCCATTAGTTACTTCCAACATGTTAGATGACTTGCAGTTAGGTCCATTAGTTACTCCCAACATGTTAGAATCATATTGTTGCTTGATGGCTAAAGAGGTCAGATTTGCGATGTTCGAACATAGGTAATCAGCTTCCAAGAAAAACTCAAACCACATCAGTACACCCAAAACACAATCTAAACACAAGGACACAAAAGTGACAGGTTCAAAAGCCATAACATCATGTGAACTCCATCTAGTAGTAAACCTGAAGCTTCGCCAGTCTTGCCCGTCATTCTTCAACAATTCTTTTACTCTCGCGTAGTGTTTGTATGCTTCGATTTTTCTTCATTTCAGCAGGAGTATTGGCAAGTACGGTAAATTTGCGATGTTATTTATAGGACACTTGCAGTTGGCAGGCTCAATTTGGCAGTAATCTCATTGAAATGCGGATTGCTGAAACGACTTGACTCTTATTTATACCGCGGCAATGATCTTATCCACAATAACTTTTCACAAAAATTGAAATGGAATCTAGTTTTTTTTAATATATATTTTCGTTTAAGCTCCCTCCTCTGATCATACAAAGAGACATTGAGAATGAAACCCCAGCAAGCCTTCTGGCCACTCTCTCGAGAAGACACCTTCACCCAAAAGCCCGTTAAAAGGCATAGAGTATGAAGCATGGCTTTGCTCCAAAGTCTTCTGGGATTGCAGATTACTCTGGACCAAACTCCGGCTCGCATCCTCGCCGTACTCGGAGAACTCCCCGGCGTCGGAGTCTTTGCCGGTCAGTTCCTGGACGATCGCGCGGAACTCAGAAGCATTGCTGGCCTTCACCATGACGGGGCTCGAAATGTACCTGATCTTCAATGGTTTCTTCTTGGCTAAACTGGTGGGTTTTCTGCTCTTAGCTGCCTGGTGAAAATTGAGCTTGCCCATGAATGATAGTGTATGTGGGGAGAAGAGATGGACTGGCTCTCTAATTTCACAGGGGCTTCCATTTATAGAAGCTGTAGCTAGGGCAGATTGAGCCAGGAAAGTCAGGACATTGTCAAACAGTTAAATCGAGGGGAGCTTCCCAGAAATGGGGATCCAGAACGAGACGAATTGGAAAAAGCACAGAAGATGACCAGAGTGATTTAAGTTGCATGACCATGCAAATTAGTGACCAAAATTCCAAAGAGTCTGCCCCCGTCCCGGCTTCTTCAAAAGGCTTCATCTCTTTGCCAATTCCCTTTTTTTCATAAGACCAACTTTGACTACCAACAGTACTGCTCAACGAAAAATGCACAAATCCATACATATCCATACATTATATTATGCATATTATACAGTATAAAGAGAACCAGGCAACGGCAGCCCGTCACTAACGTGAAAAGTATACAAATGTATAGATTATGGCCATAGGAGCTCTTTATAATATAAAGTATATATATACGGGGGTAGGATGGGTTCATTTCATACACTTTCGACAGTGACAATCCGGTATTATCATTATATTCATGCAGCGCGGGGTTCGACGATGCTCAGGTTTTGTCTATATACGAGTTCTTTTACAGACAAGGCTTACGAAGGCCCACGTATGTAGAAGATGGTGTACCAAATTTGCGACGTTTCCTTTTCTAGCATTATTATTTCTTGCCGTGACATGAATCTGTCCCGTTTAAAATTACATGTCGACAATGACAAATTAGAGGAATTAAACATTCTATATTATAGTCTACGTCCCGCCTTTACCCTTTTTTAATTTTAACTACCAGAATCTTCGATTTGTGATAATTTTATGCAGATAAAATATGAGGGACGGGACCATATGTTATGGTCGTCGGTACTTGGTTTTCGTCGTCGGTCTTCATCAACCCACGTGCAGGAAGACGTGGCTCTTGTCAGTCAAAGATCCAATTTGCTGGTCAAAGCCTTTCTAGATTGGTTGATTGGCTGATGATTTGTCACCAATCCCTACGACGCCGTGCCTCAAA